AAAGATGTTTATTTTGGTGCAAATACTTTTCTATCTATGCATATTCTTTTCACAATACACATTTTCCATGAACTTCTTTCTTTATTATCACTATTTTTTGGTTTTAGAATTGAACAACTTTTTTTTTAACATTTTGCTATATTCACCTTGAATGTAGACATTATATATATACTATTTTTTCTCAAAAACATTTCTCAAAAATGATATTAAATATCATTAAGAGACAATGATCATAACACAGGGAAAGGGTATATTCTTTATTATTATTTTTTTTTTTGACAGGCAGAGTAGACAGTGAGAGAGAGAGACAGGTCTTCCTTTGCTGTTGGTTCACCCTCCAATGGCCACTGTGGCCAACGCGCAGCGGCCCACGCACCTCGTTGATCCGAAGCCAGGAGCCAGGTGCTTCTCCTGGTCTCCCATGGGGTGTAGGGCCCAAGCACGTGGGCCATCCTCTACTGTACTCCCTGGCCACAGCAGAGAGCTGGCCTGGAAGAGGGGCAACCGAGACAGAATCCAGCACCCCGACCGGGACTAGAACCCGGTGTGCCCGTGCCACAGGCAGAGGATTAGCCTAGTGAGCCACGGCGCCGGCTGGAAAGGGTATATTCTTATTTACATGGTATGATTCAATGAAGTAATGTTTATAACTATCTGCCAAGTGATATGACATCCATATGATTTTTATACTCTGTATTAACTTCCCAAAATAAGAGAAAATGTAATATTTGTCTTTCTGAGTTGGCTTATTTCACTTAGCCTAATGATCTCAAGTTCTATCCTATTCTTTACAAATGTCATGTTTCATTTGTGGTATACATACATGACAGAATATTACTTAGCTATAAAAAAAGAAATCCATGAATTTTTTAATATCCCTCAAAGACATGGATTTCAAAAAAATTTACACCAAAATAATACCTTTTAATTCCTTTCCCATGAACTTTTTGATATTTAGTGTGGGTATATCTTTTTCCCCTCTCTTTGGAACATGATAAGACCCTAAGTAGTGACTTCCTGAGTGAGGTAAATTTGAAGCTAAAGTGAAAAGTGGGAAAACATTTATAAAGAGAAGTAACTCACAGGAAGGTGTTCCCCAGGAATGGTACAGGTTTACTTTAAACCAGTCGGGTTATATTCTAAAGCAGCTGTAATTAAATGTTAGCAGTATAGTAAAGTATGATGAATACTTTGGTTTGTGTCTTTCAAAGTCATCATATGTTCACATGCTTAAGTCTGGATATCAGAATTGACATAATTCTTGAAGTATATGGCTCTCTGCATAAGATATTGATTAAAAAGCATTTCCAATGTGTGTCACTACAGGCTTTTATTCCCCAGATAAAAACATTGACTTTTCATTAATCAAGATATGTAACTTTTCATTTTAACTAGTTATATTGATTAACACAAAAACACTATTTAACTAATAAAAAATAACTCACGTGATTACATTTTAAAGTCTGTAACATTAATTACATCTGCAAAAATCCCTTTTGCCATGTGATGCAACACATTAACAGGTTCCAGAGAATAGAATATGGACATCTTTGGGGAGCCAGCCTAGCTATCATAGTATGAAAAATGAAAAATTTTTATTAATAATTTTATATTGATCACATGTTGAAATTTCAATATAGTTAAATAAATTATTAAAATTAACTTCAGAGGTGAGTGCTTGGCACAGCTATTAAAACATCCACTTGGGATGCTTGCTTCCCAAATTTGACAGACAGAGTGGACAGTGAGAGAGAGAGACAGGTCTTCCTTTGCTGTTGGTTCACCCTCCAATGGCCATTGTGGCCAACGCACTGCAGCTGGTGCACTGTGCTGATCCGAAGCCAGGAGCCAGGTACTTATCCTGGTCTCCCATGGGGTGCAGGGCCCAAGCACTTGGGCCATCCTCCACTGCACTCACTGGCCACAGCAGAGAGCTGGCCTGGAAGAGGGGCAACCGGGACAGAATCCGGCGCCCCGACCGGGCTAGAACCTGGTGTGCCAGCGCTGCAGGCGGAGGATTAGCCTAGTGAGCCACTGCGCTGGCCCGATCTGTTCCTGAATCCAGCTTCCTGTTAATATGCACCATGGGAAGCACCAAATGATGAATCAAGTAGCTGGGTTCCGGCCACCTAAGTGGGAGCTCTGGATTGATCTCCCAGCTCCTGATTTTGACCTGGCCAAGCCTCTATGATTTCCAGCATTTAGGAGTGAGCCAGGGATGAGGTCTCCCTCTTTGTGTGTGTCTGTGTGTGTGTGTATTTTTCAAATAAGAAAAAAAGATGAATAAGAAACAGATGAAGTGAATTCTTATTTGTTTGAAAAGCAGAGAGGGAGACAGTACTCCAGTCCGTGGTTCACTCCACAAATGCCCATAATGGACTGAACTGGGCCAGGCTGAAATTAGGAACCATGAATTCAATTCAGTTCTTCCACATGGGTGGCAGAAACCCAATTACTTGAGCCATCCGTGCTGCCTCCTGGGTTCTGCATTATCAGAAAGCTATAGTTAGGAGCTGGAGCTGAATATTGAACCCAGGAACTATGATACTATATTCTGGAGCCTTAACCAGCACCTTAATCACTTGGCTAAATGTTAGTCTACTATAGTAAGCTACCAGATTCTTAAAATTAAATATGTGGTTCTAATTTGTTTCTTATATTATTCTTGGGTTGGCCATCACTGGTCTAAACCTAGAGAGAGGTGGCGTCCTCATTATCATTTTCAGTTTCTGACATCCCATGAGAAATGTTTCCCCTATAGTCAGCATGGCTTTAAACTTTTAAGTCTTCCATGACTAAGTAGAGCATAAAACAACACTAAACTCACACTTTCCACACAATCGACATTCAATTATAGGGATGGGGTATGGAGATGTGGATTCAGGGACTTGTTTCTTTGTAAGGGAAGGGCCCCTGGTCCAACAGGCCAGTACCAATAACTAGTGAATCACCTTCCTCCTTGAAGTCACAGGTTTCCTCTTCTGGTTTTGATTTTCAATGTTTGGCACATGGAAGGGGAATGAATATTTGCTAAACCAACTAAATCTAAGTATCAGTGACTAGTTAAAATAAAAAAAATAGGTTTTGGAAAGTAAGTCAGTTGCTCTCTATTTCCTAATAATGGTAGCCTCCATTTGGAACTGAAACTGAATAATATTTAGTGGTTACATCTTTATGAGGCAAGAGAGTATGATGACGTTCAGGAAAATAATACTCTTTTCCAAGTGAACATTTTAGTTATGTTTTCATCACTGTGCATTTTATTTGCCCTTAGTGAGTAAACCAAACCAGTGAAATCTGTGATACTTTTTAAGTTGTATTTTAAAAATATATTTTGGACATGCCACTTTTTTTTTTGTTAAATTTTAAAACATAATGTTTCTACTACAGTATGTGAGTCCCCCCCACCCCCCCAACCACCTCTGCTGATCACAGAACAGACACGCCAGATCATTTGTAGGAGTTGAAAAGCGGGTCAAAGAAGCTCATATTCTCTGATCTAATCCACCAACTCAAGGCCAGGGAAAAGCCCTTTTCAGAGCTCTACTTCATAATTTCTGGGACTGCAGCTGCTCCCAGCCCCACGTGCGAGCCCGTAGAAGCGAGGCAAAGTCGTAGCGACAGAGCTCTAGATCCTCTGAGGAGTAAGCAGGACTGCTGAGAAAGCACCGGCTGCGGAGCAGCCCTCGCCTGCCTGACATCAACCTGATGTGAGATACAACTAGGAGAAATCAGGTCCACCTTACCCCTCCTCCCGGTCCAAAAGAAAGAATGATATCAATAAAAGGAGATTACAAACACTTAAAACAAAGTTCACTAATTGAAAAGAGCGATGCAGTCTTTGAAGTCTATTGTCAAGCCTTTGTGGACTTCCTTGCTTATCAGCACTTTTTTCCCCTGAAGAAAAACAGAACAGTAACATTTGCACAGAAAAAAAAAGCAAATTATGTTTCTTCCTTTCTTATTACTTTTATTGTTGAGGTTTCTTTTAGACTATAATGTGGCATTGTGATTTTGAGATGGGGAAAAGAAACCGTTGTCTTTCAGACATAAGAATCTGATTGTGTGCTATTGTTGCCAACAATGAGCTAAAGAGGTTAATGGATCACAGATCTGGCAAACAGCCATCCTTTCTCCTGCTCAACAGATTACACAATATAGTTTGTTGCTGCTGAGCTTATGATTTTGTCTGAGTAGCTGGTAAGTAAGTTTACTTACATTTAAGCTATGTTTCTAGAACTCAGCAGCTTCGTCATTCAGTCCATATCCTGAGATTTTAACAGTGCAGCTTGAGGTGTGAGCTCACGACCTTTGAGGTGATGCTGGAGGAGGACCCAGGCGAGGAGGTGAAACTGGCTTTTGCAGGAGGATCTAGAAATATCATTCATTGTGAATTGCACCTGACCTTTCATTTTCAGATTGACTAAATTAACAGAATGACATTACCATAATAAAAAGGAAGGGATACTGGAAAAAGCACAGCGATTCTTTCTAGTGTTGTTGCTGGCGATCATTCTAACAGACCTCTAATTAAATGGACCAGTCCCCTCCCCTGACCCCACGCTGACTCGACTTTGCACTCTATGACTGTCACTGGAAAACAAACAAGCGGTCCAAAGCCACAACACTGACTTCTTGCCCAAGGACTTTAGTGTGCGTTGCATTGGTATCACAGGATTGTCAACAGCAGACCAAATACCTCCACGGGAGGAGCGGGGGCGGGGAGAGAAAGTGAAGAAAATAAACGATTTTATATTTTAGGAAACTCCGGAAAGGAAAACTTTACCAAAGAGAAAGATAGTTTTCTGGGTGATTTTGGTTGGGAGAGATGCACATGGGAGGGTGCGGTGGGATGGAGCTGGGAGGGAAGAAGCCATTCAATCAGCCTAGTTAGACCAGTTGAGATCCTTTCAGTGAGGCAAAAGCCACAGTAAATAGCAGGTGGAATCAGTTCCCTGCCTCTCTGTGTTGCTGGGGGCAGAAGGTAGGAGGGGCATAGCATGAACTGGGAAGTAGAGTGCATCTGTGCTTTGGCATTAGCAACCTGGAAGAAGGCTGAGCCCGGAGCTCCGTTTCCCAGCGAGGCGGTGATCGCCCCCTGTGACTCCCGATGCACACAGCAGCTTAGCAGCCCGGAGCACCAGCCGCTGAAGCCCCCGACACTCGCAGCCTCCAGCCCTTCTACCTGGCTCGCTGGAGCCACGCACAAGCTCTCTGGGCACCTTGTGTGTCCCAAGCTCCGAGACCAGGCCCTCTTTACCCCAGGGAGGCAGTCTCGGGCCCTTCGACCTCTATGTCCCCGTGTCTACTACCACGGTCACCTAGGCAGGTTCGCCAAGCTGCGACATAAGTCATTCGCAGGGCCCTCCGCACCCACCCGGCAGCCCTACCGGACAGTCTGCCCGCGGATACTGCGTCTGGGTGGGACGCGCGGAGGCTCGCCCACAGGACGCCCTCCTCCGGGTGAATCCTCACCCCCATTCCCCTTCTCCGCCTACGGCCCAGCCCTTCTGCAGCAAGCCGCTCCAGTGTGTGCGCCCATCTCTCCGCCTAAGACACCTGCGCTTCTCCTCCTCCCTTTCGCTGCGGTTTCTCGGCCGCCTTTGGGAGCTCAGGAGCGGCAGCTGGAGGAGGAGCAGGGAGAGGAGGGGAGGGCGAGGAGGAGTAAGGGCGGGGTGGGTGGGGAGAGAGCCGGGAGGGTGTGGACTGGCAGCCACTCTGCAGCTGGTCGCCGGGGACCGGTCCCTCCCGCGCGCCCGAGTGATGGAGGGGAAGCGATTCGCTTAGACACACACGCGCGCACACAGCTGGGCACGTCTCCCGGAGGCAGCTGCCGGCTCGGGCGCGCCGGGGGCCGGGCGGCGGCCGTGGCAGCGCCAGCCGCGGGGAGCGCGGCGCCCGCACAGCCTGGCACCAGCGGCCAGAGGACGCAGGAAGGGAAGAGCCCAACCCGCCCGGACTGTTGCTCTTTGGGGCGGATCCGGAGGGAGCAGGCTGCCCGAGGCACTGTCACCGAGGACGCCCGAGGCTCTCGCCTTCCGTGAGCAGGCTCGGGGTTGCGCTGGTGCCCTCGTGGGGCAAGGAGGATGCGCACCTCCACCCGCAGAGCGGCTGCGGTCCCCGGCACTGCGCGGACTCGGGCTCCAGCGGTTGCCCGTGCCGTGCCCGCGCCGCGGGAGCGCGCCCTGCCGCACCTGGCTCCAGCCTCTCGAGGAAGTGCAGGAAACGCACCCTAAACTCCACTACTTCTCGCCCGCCTCCTCCGGCTCCCCGCCCCAACCCCGCGGCCGCCGCCGCCGCCTGCGTGTGGAGGGCCCGCCCGCCTTACTCTCACGCGCGCACGCACAGCCGGGCTCACTGGCTCCCATTCACGCCGACTCGCCCTTCGCAGAGCCCAAGCCCCGGCGTCCGAAACTACTGGGCCAACTGCCGCCCGGACCGCGGGAGCCGCCGCGTGGCCCGGAGCGACCCTACGCCGGCCGCCGCGCCCTGGGCGCCTGACCGCGCCGCCGCCGGGGACCACGGTGAGCTGGGCGCCCTGCCCGCCTCGCGCGGGGGAGGGGCCGGGGCACCCCGGGCTGAGACCGCCTCGGTCTGGCTGGGGGGAACCGGACGAGGGAGGTCGCAGAGGGGAGACACCCGAGAGATACCAGCCAGAAGCACTTTGAGGGGTGCGGTTCTCCTGGGAACTGCCCGGGAGAGACTTTTGAGATGTTTGCCGGGGCCGCAGCTTAAACTAGTAGGGGGTGGGACGCGACTGGACCCTTCCCAGGCAAATTGAATCAGTGTCAGTCAGTCTGTCCGTGGGTCCGTTTCGCTGTCAGCCTCCAGCGCTCTCTGGGGGAGCGGGAATACGCGTCCACTGAGCTCCGTAGAGTTTGGGGGCTCGCGCTCGGCCGCTTCTCGGGGTGACTGTAGGGCTGCCGCTTGGAGCGCGGGGGCGGCTTGGGGAGAGTGGGGGTGGGGGTTCGGAGGCAGGGGCAGGGGGCAGGCTGGGGCTCCTTGTGGGGGGGGCAGGTGTCCTCGCTTCGGAGCCGGCCCCCACCCCTCTCAGGGCGGTCCCCGCGCCCCCGCCCCCCAGCCACAGCACCACTCCGCGCAGCCCCTCGCAGCCACCCCCAACACACGCGCGCGCGCTCACACTCAGGGGATGGATGCAGTGGAGGGGCGGTTATATTGTTATTACTCAGAGGTCTTCCAGGTGGCTGGGGCTGCTGACTGGGGCGCTCAGACTCCTGCGCCTGGGACTTGGGTGACCACTTTGGTTCAGGGTAGTGGGAAAGGAGCGCCCAGACTAACGTGGATGCCTTTACCTGGAGGGTCCAGGTTCGCAGCCAGCTGACCGCCACAACTCCGGAGTCGCTTCACCACGGTGGGCTCTGCTCTCAGGCGTCCCTTCGGGGGCCCCCAGCCGGGGTGGTGGTGGTGGTGTGCTGCTGCTCAGATGCGTGGTCTCCCCACTCCTCACCCGGTGGGTGTCTCCCTCCTTCATTTCTCTTTCTCTCGGAATACCGGTTTCTTCATGGAAAACATTGATCCCTTAAGGGGAGATTTAATATTTGCAAAGTGCTTTATATCATATTACTTCGTGGATACATTGAATTGCACTGTAACTCTCCTGTGATTTATGTAAACTTAGCCTGATAAACAGCATGCAGGGTTGGGCTGGGGGGGGGAGCGAATGTGGGTGGGCATCCTTACTATGATGTGCTGCCTTCTAAACTGCATTGCTAGCAGTAATAAAAAGCGGGTGCTTCTGGAAAGATTTGCTCAGTAGTTTCTGCATATTTTAGAGCTTTAGACAGATGCTTTCACATTACAATTTAGTTCAAGTATTTTCAGCTGCTTTTCTAAGAAAAAGTTAAAGCCAAGATAATGAAAAGGGGTTACAAATTGAATTCAGATATGATTATCTTGAAAATGTCGTTTATGATTTTCTTTCTTTTTTTCTTTCTTTCTGTCTTTCTCTTTCAGAAAGAAAGCTTGTTACTTTTTCCTAGTGAAGTTCTTAAAAGGAGAAATAAAAACACTCCTTCCTTCCTTCTCCCTTTCTTTCTCCCTTTGTTTTGTTTACAAGTGGTCATTGCTTAAAGTGAGCAGTAGCTTGTGTTTCAAGAATATAAAGTTATTCATTAGTAAGTGGATGGAGTCATAAGAAGATAAGGCAAAAAAACCATAATGATGGGAAGGAAACTGTTACTTAAATGTGACTGTCTCCAGGGCAGTATTTTAACAGTGAAAAAGAAAACTGCTCTGGCCTCTTCCAGGTTACTCTGGATTTTTTTTTAATACTCTTCTCAATTAATAAAATATATGAGAGCAGCATTGCTCATGTAAAGTAATATTTTCAAATCGATGCCTAAGCAGATTACATGAGAAATTATGTGCACAGGATTCAGTGGAGTATTACAGCAAGTGCTGGGATCGTGGTTTCTAGGTTAAGCCAGAACTCATTTTTAAATTTTAATCTTTGAAGTTGCTCTCTTTGACATCTTTGCAAGGAGTCTGCTCGCGGTGTTTTGATTTTGCTTACCTCATTGTGCTTACATTTGCAGGCACACACAGATGTCTTTGAATGAACAACTTTCTCACTGAGTTTTCAATCCTTCAGAAAGGGTTTATTGAGCGTATGAACACACAATATAGGAAGCGGAGCTGTAATGTTATTTTAAATGAGGAAGGAGTTGGGGCAGCCAGCAGGATGCTCACTCCTCTGTGAATGGAACTTTAGAGCAGTGGCTTACTTTGGGAAGCAGTTTCTTGCCCAAAATAGGTGGTCAACAAAGAGCTTTTGACTCAAAAATCATATAAAATGTTAACTTTTGTGTTAACTCTAAATTCCACCATTATTCTTAATCTGCCATGTCATTTAGATATGACTCAACTCAACCTAAAAGAATTGACGCTGTTGACTCTCATCATCTTGCTCTTTGAATAGAGTAATATAACTGCACTGTATATGATTTCTTATCTCTGGCTCTCTGTATATTATTTTTGTGGAGTAGTGCCAGATCTGAATATATCATTAGTATTCATTTATGAGTAAATGCAAACATTCCTGTTATGTTGAAAATGCAAACTAAACTTCTTAGAACTCAATAAATATTTTTCCTTTAATTTTCTCATCTTTTTTGTAATCTCAGAAAAAAACTCTTAAAATGTAATTACATGTAAATGAACAAGTTAACAAAATAATTATGCAGGATTTTTTTTTTTTTAGAAAAAGAGAAATGTCTTATGGATATGTTTGTTAAGGAGAATTTTCTTTGATTGTCTTGACATGTCTGACAGGGTGGTCTTTTACTGTAGGGGTCCTCATTCATGAATAAAATAACTAACTTACTAGCAAAGCAAGCTCCTGGAAGAGAAAATTCTTGCTAGAAATAATGAAAACCTGTGGGAATAGAATGTGAGCAGTAAGACTAGAGTTCTGTCATGGAAATTATCCAAATACTTGTGTGTTTTATTGGTTATAATATGAATGATTTTGATGTATTTCTTTTTAATGTTCAAATGTTTTCACATCATCATATTATTGCAAGTAAATAAGGAGCTATTGTTTGGTAGTAGAATTGTTTTAAATAAAGATGAATAGTTTGAGAGGAGGAAAACCAGTCAGTTCTGGGAACAGTTACTCCAACCATAGACTCATTGTCAATTACGTTCTGTCCTTTCTGGTGGTGGGAGCTCCAAACCAAAGTAACAGACTCTGCTTTTCATTATGCAGGGAATTGTTACTGTTAAGAAAAATCATGCGTTTTAGTTTTCCAAGTTCTTTGAAATCAGCCGAAGTGTAAAGTTTTATTTTTCTTTTGTTCTGGAATCCAATTTAATTGTTGACAAATTTTGCTTCCTCTATGAGCAGTATTTGTTTCTGAGAGTCATGATGCTATTTTAACTTTTACAGCAAAAATACAATTAAAGGGAATAGTGATGACTACATTTAAAAATTATCGATTTGTCAAAGACATTTAATTGTTTAAGCTTATCAAAAGAAAAAGATTATATCTGGAGATATAATTTTAAGTAATCCAAACATCACTTTACATTCCATGATTGTGTCTTACTGTTAATTACCATTTGATGCAATGAATTATTTTCCATCTTCTTGAAAAAGTTATGAAACAAAGTTATGGTTGAGGAATTGGTTTGATTTTAGACCATTTTACTTTACTGGGCATCAGTCAGGGGAGTAAGTTATATATATATATATAAGCCCACACATACATACATATACGTATGTACACACACATATGTATGTGTGTGTACACATATATACACAAGCACACTTTTATATATTTATAATATGTTTATATAGTTATTTCTTTTTGTGTATATATCTATGTTTTATTTAATAATTGGACACTGGGGAAACAGTCCCCTTTTGGTATATGGGGTTTGTGAAGTCAGCATCATTTTTAGAAAGTGCTTAGATATACTCAACTAGTTTGTTAAGAATTTGAAGTGTGCTAAACCTTTTTCAACAACTTTTTTAAAAAACACGTAACCTTCAGTATGTGTCTGAACTCTTCAAATAATTCTACTTATAATAAATTAAAAAATTTTTTTCATCTATTTGAAAGGGAAGGAGGAAAAAGATGGGGAGAGAGGAGGGAAGACTCTGGTCTGCTGATTCACTCACTCCTAAATGTGCACAATGTCCAGAGTAGGCTGGGTTGAAGTCAGAAGCTGGGAATTCAATCCAGGGCTCCCATACGGGTGGCAGGAACCCATTTACATCAAAGATTATCACTGCTTCCCAGGATAAGCAGTAGCAGGAAATGGACTTGGAGGTAGGTGTCAAACCCAAGCACTCCCATGTGGGATGTGGGTGTCTTGTGCACTAGATCAAACACCTGTCCCTCTACTAACATCAGCTCATGTAATTCTGCCCTTTTGTCCTTCATTTTGCGGAGAGAAAATAAGTAGGTAAAGGTGTTTATTGTTATCCCAGTCAGAATATGAGAAAAGTGAGGCTTCATAAACGTAAGTAAATGACACAAGCTCTACTGCTACTAAATGGCAGCTGAACCCAAGAGTGCACGATGCTGTGCTACTGCTCTTGAATCATTTCTTTTACATTTACTTAAATAAGGGGCCTAGTGGTGAGTAGGTTGATTGGTAAAGCAGTCTGGCAACTAAGATTTGTGACAGTTTTTCATCTTGAGGTGAATTCTTAAAAAAATCATGAGGAAGGTGATTGTAATGAAGCACTGACATGACCTGAACTAAAGCAATACTTGGGCACTGTATTAATGTAGTTTTTAATGGACTCAATAATTTTCCAAGGTTCAGCTACTTTCAAATTAGGTAACTTTAAGAACTGATGCCATACTTAAGTAGTTTTAATAGCTCAGAAGATCTGATACTGAATGTTTTATGCTTCCCATAATATTCTTATAATGTGAACTTCTTGCACAGTGGTCAATATTATGTTTTGCTGCATGGTACTTTTTGAAGGAATGAATTTTATAGATGATGTGAAATGAGAATTTATTCTGCTTAAACCCACCTGCACACAGTA